GAAGTGTTTCATATTTAAAAAAGGAGCACCTAATTCTGGTTAGAGAATCAGATGTGCCATATCGACTACTTGAAATCTTGGTATAAGGACGCCTGCAACACTTGTTTCAACTATTTAAATCATGCGAAGCACTTACAAATACAATTCTATGTACCAATAAATACAACGATGTATTTATTGGTTTATATAAAGCCATTGTCTTATTTAAGTTTTTACACTGTCTATACTTGAATATGTGCAAGACGATTCCTAACACGGTTATGTTGTAGGCATGGACCGGAGCATTACTGAATCTATCTCTCAATATCGTTGTTCTCTAAAATATAACATAATTAAGAAGAAAGAAAAAAAAAGCTGGCCTTACCAATAATTTGTTCAAATTCAGAGCCAAAAATCTCCACAGCACGTGCGCGATGATTCGTAAGGCCATTGGGATGCCTATATTAAACGGTTAAACTTATGGTTGCTGCATGATACATGAAATGTAACAATGGACAGAAAGTACATATACATATTATAACGTGCATAAGCCCATTTTTATGTCGTTTAAGACCGTGTTATACCGTTATAATGTAATTTTTCTACCCAATGGCTTCGGACCATCTAGCAGCATGAAGCACTACTGCAACGACAAACAGCCCGCCGATGTTCGTCCTAATCTAGGTATCGTGCCCTGTATAAGGTCTGGAAGACTGAAGTCATGCTATGTACGATAGGGTTGACCCACGTCAATCCCAGGGTGTGCCTCGTTCGCGTCAACGCCACTTTATACATAATTTATTTTGTCTTATTGATGCAGCCGTTGTTTAAACAATATTTTCAAGTTTATAAAAGCATAACAAACAGTCCCGTCGAAAAATCTCAGATATAAACGTACGATTCTCCTGAGTAAGAAATTTGTTATGAGACGTTTACCTAGGGGATGTCTTTTCCCTTGCGGAAAACAAACGTTCTCGTTGACAAACAATATTGTACTATAGAAACAAATGCCAGTGTGACAATATTCAGTCCGTAAGCCAGTATTCAATCATTTAAAACTATTGCTGAAATTTAAAGATCTGATGAAAAGTAAGGACGGATAGTCTAACACAATATCAGGCAAAATGGATGAAGCATTCGAATCCAATCACTTTGAAATTCTCAACGAAACAAGAAAAACTGGTAGTATTAGAAGTATATTATCTTATAATAACAACATCGCATATATATTAAAAGATGGACAATATCACAAAACTGTTGCTACCCTGTGTAGTTTGTCGCTTATCCGTACCAACATTTTCAGGAGTATCAATACATTGTAGCACTAAGCCGGCAGCGTCCTTTTCGGTGTAAACTTTTGCAAAGAAGTTGATGTCCATATTTGTGCTGAAACAATAATCTTTTTATCGCTGGTAATTGCTAATAAAACGAGGGCATGGTATAGCGGTCGACCAGCATGTCGGCAGGCGTCAGATAAAAATACGATGTCAAGAGTATGTCAGATGCCCCCAATTTTTCAATTTCTATTAGCGAATCCGCAGGCCCCGTCGGAGTCTGAGTGGGGAAAACGGGAAGGAGAACAGCACGGAAAGGGGCAATAGATGACAAAGCCGAATAGAGACTCTATTGCCACAGACGGTATGCATATCTGGAACAGAAAGGCTTACCGAGACGACGCACTGTTTCTCTGGACCGCTTTGTGAATGCTTGTACATGTTTGCTGAAAAGCGCGTTTTACTAGAGTGTGATGGACGCTGGGTCCATCGGGCGCTATTCGGTGTCTACTATGAAATTTGCTAAATATTGTATGACGTGGCCTGAATCGGAAGGACGAACGACCAGTTCTTTGTTGAGAAACACTTTAAACCACTGGGACGCCACACCGATAAGGTTTGCACCTATTTACATTGAAAGATATTTATTTACAAATAGAAAATGTTTATAGTTTGTTAAATAAGATTTTTATAATGCACGTCGAAAAAGTTTACTTGCTCGGCTAATTTAGATAATTTTAGCCTTAGAGACCACCTGCATATTATAGACTGGGGAATCAGCGAGACCATACAAAAACACACGTGCCACTCTTCCCTTCACAAACAATAAGGATGTTTTTCATAGATCTGCTTGTTTAGTCATATATAAATGATGCGGGCTGCGAACTTGGGTCTATTAATTACTTAAATGCTTCAAAGTGACTGCCGTAGACGGCTTCTGCTATTCCATCTTCAAGATACGTTCTCTCAAGTTTACATAAGCTCAACCAGCTCCCGATCGTATTGGCTAAAGGCGCAAAACAGCTGACTAATGGGATTGGATGTTGGCCATTGTTTCGCGTATTGGAATTACACATCTTCGTGAAGTGTCTAAACCTCTGATATAATAATTAAGGCAGTCAGTTATTTGAAATCATTCAAATTATGAAGAAATATTTACACCTAAACAATCTTTCCTATTAGTTAGGTTCCTGTGAAACTGACTGGAAAGGGCCAAACTATGGAAGCAGCGGCAACAGTTATACGGCAAAGTAATATAGCAGTACATGCCTCTCTGGAGGTGAGTTGAAACTGAGTATAGGCTATTTCTCATAACGTTCTCTTTACATCTGCTGCGAAACGTAGAGGACGGCTTCCTACTGCTTTGACTTTTTTTTGTTGGTTAGAAACGTAATTTTTTCTTCGGCCCGTCTTACACTAAGAAAAATTTTTAATCGACAGTATTACAACAACGAGTATAGCAACGAGACTGCTTTAGCCTTATCTAAGCCTCTTTATATGTATCATATATATATGAAATGCTTGATAGGTAACGAAATAAAGAATATGTAAGAATGTTATCACGGTATAAAGCAGATATCAGGACGCGGCCATCATAAGCAGAGTCGTTATTAAAAATAAATCGGAGATGATTCATTTTATCTAAACGTCGTCTATATCTTGAATTTTGTTTTCCTTCGCATTATTTACGCGGTCTTTTCTTTTTTTTTTTTCTTATTATTCACTTTCTTGTGCTGTATATGTTTTTGCCCATGCTGTCGTAATCTTTTCCTATCTATTTGCGTACGAGACGCATTGTGGACGTGGCCTCGAGCAATAGCAGCAGTCCCCTTTCTTCTGTTCGCATCACGATGACAGCAGGACAGTACACCCAATGGCATCGGTCGGGCTCCTTTTGGGTATCCTTTAAGCCATCTGCGGTGATCTGCTGTAAAGTTCCCATCGCTGTCTTCATCGTTTTCACTAGGCCCATCTAGCAAGCCTACTGGCGTCCTTCGTCGTCCTTCGTTTTTGCGCTCGCTCTCTTTTCTTGAATATTTGCCACCACTGTCGTCACAGCCAGTCGGGTAAACATAATTTTCGTCTTTTCGTCCCTTTAACTCCATGCACGTATACAAGGAAACGATTTCATTTATAACAACGAAAGACAAAAGATCAAAACAGTGTCACGCTGGAATCCCCGGAGGGACACAGAGGAGATAGGAAATTCAGTCAGGGGAAATCGCGCAAAGGGCAAAACGCAAGCGAAAATTTACTGCTTTGCTTTTTTGTTTGATCTTCTCTCGTCGTAAAGATCTGACCGTTAACTGGCAGCAGCCTGCTGGCCGTTTAACGCCTGATCGGGGTAGCATTAGTTCTCATTTAGCCTGTGCCTACAATACGGTATCTTGATGACTGACGATGGAAGGGGCCATTTACAAGCTGGCAGGATTTTTCTAAACCTAAACGAACGGCCCTTACAGCCAACTGGAATGACAGCCATGCAGACGAATATACGAAAAAGACATTTGAAAAAGATATACCTTTTGTAATTATATATAAGGCCGTTGACGTATAGTTATGTTAAACAAGTGTTCTAAAGACATCCCATTTGTTAAATGTAACCTCCATAAGGTATATATAGTAATCAAGTCGCTCGATATGTTATATTGAATAGCCATTAATAGACTTTGTAAGCTTCTATCAGTAGCATTTGCAGTGGTATAAAAAACTTTAGATATTGGTTTTGCTCTCCTCCTCTACGGTTGACAGGCCTTCTAAGTGGATTCACGGAAATTACGTAAAACGAAGAATAGCTTCGCAAGACGATGTGTCGTTCCAAAGTAAATACCGCAAATACTTAAATAACAATATTGACTCATTTCTAAACTGTTACCACTTAAACAAGGTTGCGGTTGGGCAATCTTTTCATTTATTTCATTTATTTAAGTGATAAGCATGTACTGTTTACCATTTTTGAAATTTCAGCGTTAACGGCTGTCGCTTTTCGAAACAATACAGCTTCACAGCAAAATTCCACAGAGAGAGTTTCCCTCAAACGTCAACACTACCATATGCTTCTCTATTGTCCTGTCTAGGCGCACCTATGACTAGCGTTAAACGTATCTATCCAGATTTGTGCGCATCATGTGTTGTATATTCCAGGCCCCCCGTTAAGCTGACTCTGCTTATTAAACGATGCCGTTTTTAAGCACTAGCTTGTGTTGAATCTACATTTTATCATGAAACCCATGAAAGGTTAACATAAACTTTTTCGTGAGCTGGATGTAAAACCTTGAGAATACCTATTGTTTGTTTGCGGAGCCAGTAAACGGTCAGTTGCAAACGTCAGTATGTAATTATATCGTCGACGTGCATGATGTTAATGGAACAATATCGCTGTACCCGACTCGTATGGAAATGAACGTGATCGTGTGTATTTTATATCCTTTGCAATCGACCGATGCTTAGCCACTTAGCAACTTCTGCTGCTTAAGCTTGATTCTATAGAAACTACTTGTCCTTTAGTACAGTGCAAAACTGCTAGATATTTGAAAAACGAGCAAAAATATATCAGGTTTATATCGTGGTATACCGTTGAATGAAACAATAGTCAACATAAACAATTGTGCTTATTTATCATGTCTAGTCACGCCTGTATGGTGATGATCGTAGATACGTTCCTGATCATTCAGCAATTAATGCTAATAAGAAACTTTGCTATATTATCTGTAACCCTTCTTTTGTTCATTTTTAATTTGCTTGCAGTTAGCTGAGAGTGCTGGATAAGAGCGCCTGTTCCCGAGTTCATACAGGCGCCCTGTCAATGGCTCAGTGTAATACATCGCAGTCTTCGTGGAGGCGGCGGAGCCGGCCCCCACTATCTCTAGCAACAACCGTAACCCTCATTTTGGGTCTCTTCACCGCCTGTTCGTCTTCTTCTTCTTCAGCAGAGCCTCACAAAGGCCACGTGCGCCTTAGTCGCAAGTCAGGAATTCCCGATACCACGGCATTTGCTGGCTACATATTTAACTACACTCTGCCAGACGATATATTCAATGGAGAAGTGCATCACTATGACGTAAGTGTAGCTAGTTATTGAATTATTTAAAAATGTATTGCTTTTGTATTTTTCAATTTGATCAAAAAAACCTAATAGACATAAAATTATTGCAAACTGAAGAAACGGTGAACATCAGTGATTCAAGTAGCATTCATTATTCTCAGACGCTTTCTTGTTTTCGTTTTTCCCATACGTCTCACTATTCCTTTTCTTCTTTTTTATCAAACCGGTTGCATGCTTTTTCTTAGATTCTTTTGGCGTCCAGTCTGTTATCGTACATAATCATCTTTGGAATCTTTTTTTTTGTTTAAATATCGAAATTATCGCATTTTGGCAAAGAGTGCGTCGATTGAAAGGCACACATTTCGATGTAGATCATAATATGGACAAGAGAACGCAACAGTTTGAAGAAAAAAAAGAAAGAAAAAATAATAACAGATTATTTATGGCCATCAGTAAACGAATCATCGCAAAGAACGATAATTAACAAAAACGGATATTCCTCATTAAGATGTTTCACTGTATAGAAAGCTCTAGGCTTTTATTGCCACCATAATATATATATCTTTTATATAAACGTCTTTAACAATATATGTATGGTGCATGCGGGATATATGTGGCTTTTGAATTTTGCCGCCGCTGTTGCCGTGACTTGTATGGACGCGTTATGCGTTGCAGGTAACAGAGGCCGGAGACATTCGTCTGCCCGGGTGGCTGCAGTTCGACCCTAAGAACCGCAGACTGGTCGGACTACCCGACACGGCGGATGAGGGCAAGGTGTACATTTGCGTCAAGGCGTATGGCTTTGGCACGCGGCACCAGGGCAACTCACTCGATGAGCAGTCTGTCAGCGATGAAAAGTCGACGCAATTCAAGGACATTTTCTCGATTGAGGTCTTGTCCGGCAAGCCTAAGGATCCGCACTGCCGTTTTGAGCCGCGCATGACGCTTATGGTTGATGCCGATTTGCACTTTCTTCCACTTGAGAGTAAAATTGAGATGACGTGCGCGTTGGCCAATTGCCTGGGCGTCCCACTTGATGGGCTTCGGCTATTGGCAATGCCACAGAGCAACTCACCGCTATACCCGCAATTACACGACGACTCGCACCTTCGCTCAGGTGCAGGTGATGGCCATAAGCGCACAAAGGCCGGTATCCAGTTCGAGTGGGCCATGGCCTCGGACTGCGAAGGTCGTCTGGCGGCTGAAGCTGATGATCAAATTCAGCTGGTAGAAACGGCCGCCAAAGATGGAACATTGCGTCATCTCCTGCGCCATCGCGTGCTTGGCTGGCACGTCCGCGGCACCTCGCTAGGTGGCACTCAAGTGTCTGGCTTCTCGATCATGAGGCAGAGGAGAGACATGGACGTGAGTCACACGCCCATGCCTGGCAGTAAGTATTTTATGTTCTGTAGTTTTACATTGTACATACAGAAGAGGGCCGTTAAAGTAATCGGCTTCCTACGATCGTATATGTATTGAGGTTAGTTTTAAGAGTGTGCCAGGACTCAGAAACTCCAGTAGTATATGTCTTAGCGAGCATTGCACTTCTTTAGACATAGTCAAAAGCAACTCCCGAGATGACCAAGTGTGAAAGGCATTGTCGCTGGTGTCAAGCTTCTTCATGTAAATTAGAAAAATTAGCCATAATGAAAAAGTAAAATGACCCACAAGAGAAACATTTTTACTCTATTATCACAAAAATAAAACTGGTAATCATGATTAATTGATGGAGCTGTAATTACAAAGTAAAGAACAATATCGGCCTGCTGTAGCAGTTATTGGTTCTCGAAAATCACGAGAGTAGTTTTTTTATTGTCCACTCGGTGAACCTACATCGCATCATCCTCTTTGAACACTTTGTAACCCAATTTTTTGCGGCGCCCAAAAAACACACTTGTTAATTTTTTTACATAAAAGCGAATACTTGAGGTTTATAAGCTAATATCTTAATCGATTAAAATTGAAGGTTTGCAGTATGGTTATCGTTGTAAACCTCTTTTACGGGTACGTCTGTTTCAATGCCAAATTATGTTCTATAACGAGAATAAGATTAACAAAAGTATTTTATGTGGGTCGGTGTATGAGCGCCTGAACAACGGGAAAATAAATTTAGTGATTCTTGGTGTGTAGGCTTAGCTTGATGAAGAAACTCTGAACTTGCGAACCCGCTGCTTGGAACAACTTAGTTTAGTACAAAAAATACGCGTATGGTGCAGTTTATTAGATAGCATGGCTATTATTATGTCTATTAGCTGTTGTATTTTGTTATTATTACCATAACATAGGTTGAGTGGCTACAGTCACCCGGACTCAATAATACCTCATATACAAATAGAACGAAGTTAATATCTCTGTTTAATTTGTGTACGTTGCAGTCGTGATGCCGACGGCCACGGTGACTAACGATTTCGATTGGGATACCTCTGCTTCACCGGACATCCGCATTGTGCCTAGCATGTCGTCGCCGGAGGTGGATCCCAGCTCGCGGGCGCCACACATGCGCCCCCAGCCCATCCCTACAAGACGACACCCCGAATATGACCCCATTCACATTACACCTTCGGTTACCCTACACTCAATGTTACCCAGCTATGTTCACTCCACGCCTGCATTGCCACTTCCTCGTCCTTCGTTCACTTATGTAACTAACGTTGACTCGGTGCCTACAATTACGCCGGTCATCGAACCCTCATCAACCTTCCCCTACTCGGCGCCCAGCCCGACCGAAACGTTTGACAGGCCTCCGGTGCCACCTTCGTCAGGCTCTATACCGGAACCGCCGCCGCCCACCGTCAACAACAAGCCCGTGGTGAATAAGCGAATCAAGAAGCTCGTCATGACAGCTGGAGCAATCTTTACGTACAAGATTCCGGCTGAAACGTTTATCGACGAGGAAGATGGCGATACCAGAGGTTTAGCCTTAGAGCTGAACAACATGAATGGCCAGCCTGTCGGCAGCAACTCGTTCATTCAGCTGGACAAAATAAACCAAACACTATATGCGCTTCCGCTGAGTGACCATACCGGAAAGTACAACTACCTTCTAAAGGCATACGACAGCGCTGGCGAAAGCGTCACCGAGACATTTGAAGTGAACGTTTGGCAGCACCCAGGGGAAAGGAATTTCCATCACAAGTTCAAAATGTCAGTTCAACCCCGAGGTGACTGGGACTGGAGCATTGGATGGCCGATGGACGTCGTGCGAGTCCTATCCGAATATTTTGGCGATGGTCAGGAACACAAGATCACAATCACCGGCATTGTGAAGGAAACGCATACGATCTCATGGACAAATAGCACCCTGCCGGCGTCACCTTGCCCGCGCGAGACACTTAAACAGATTGAGAAAAAGCTCAATAAGGAATCAGGTGAGCCGCGAGGTGTGCTAATAAAACTAATGCAAGTTAAGGAGATCACCATCGTCCATATATCGCTTGAGATGCTTCGCCTCTGCAAGACGCCAGCGAGCACAGGGACGCCGGCGGAGGGAAACGCGCCACCTGTACGACGTAACAGTATAGGTGAGCTCCAAGCAACAGCTGGACGAATTTTTCAGTACAAGATACCGGAAGATATCTTCTACGATTTCGACGACGGGAACACACGATACCTTTCACTGCATCTGCGTAACATCAACGGTGAGAGTGTCACGCCACAGTCGTGGCTGCAGTTTAATGCTAAAACACAGGAGCTGTCCGGCCTGCCTGAGGCGAACGATCTTGGCCGCTCCGAATACATCATGAGCGCTGCGGACAAACTCGGACAGGAGGCAAACGACGTGTTTTCTCTCGACGTTAAAAAGCCAGAATTTGAAAAACACCCCGTGGAATTCTCGATTCAGCTCGAGGAGAAGTATGAAGAGTTCAGGAAGAATGCCTCAAAGAAAGTCCTCGTGGCCTGGAAGCTGGCCAGGCTATACTTCGATCCTGACCCAAGCAAGATTACTGTCACTAGCATCACGAACGGTTCAGTGGTCTACTCATGGACCAACAACACTTTGGCCACTGAGCGCTGCCCAACGGACAGCATCCAGGCCTTGAGCGCTAAGCTAATCGAGCAGCTTCCTCAGCAACAGGCAAACGCAAGTCACATCGCCCGGATGCTCGTGGATACGATGTGGCCTGATTTCCGGGTGTTGAAGGCAGATGTTCGCCCGCTCGGCGCGTGCCTGGGCGCAGGCGGCGTGCCGCCCTCCACCGGGATCTCGCCGCCTTTGGTACCACCCATCCACCCAGGTCAACAACCCGAGGACGACGATGTCTACGTGACAACTGTCATTCCCGCACTTGTCATCATTGTGATGCTCATCATGGCTACTGCCGTAGCTTGCTGCTTGTACAGCAAACGCCGCAGGGGCAGGCTCAGCATGCATGATCACTCATTTTACCATAAAGGTGTGTAAACAAAAACATCCACTGATACATAAGACGAACGAATACATCTTAATAAGTAGACTATGATAGCTACTTAGTAGTAGGCTATCTGCATCTATGGTTGTAGGTACGTTTGGTAAACTATTAATTCCTAGCATAATTCAATATTAGATGATCCTAGGATTGCCTAGAACGGCTAAATTGTATATTGAAAACGAATGAGTAACTTTGGCCTTATCGTTCTTGCATGTAGGAATTCCGATTATCTTATCCGAGGAGCTCGAAGACAGGCCGCACATGGGCAATTCGGGTGGCAAGCAGCCAGCCATCATGCACGAGGAACGGCCGCCCCTCTCCCGAGATGCCATGGCGCCCCTTCTCGGTAATCAGGGACCAGTACACCATCGCGCCAATGAACCTTACCAACAGCCAGCGCCGCCCTATCCGGGCGGTTTGGTCGGCGCTAGGTCCAGCCAACCTCGGGTAACGCCCAACTATCGTAATCCACCCCCTTACGTGCCACATGTACCTCCGTAATGAGTTGGGTCTTGAATTGATTTTACCCTGCTTTTGTATTTTATATAATGTAATGAAATAATAAATGGCGAAATACATATTATACAGGTGCCGCCACAGATCTTCCCTAAGATAGGCATACACGATTGCTTTAAGGTTCATACAATACAGGAGAGCGCAATATAATGGTTTACACTATACAGACGTTAGTTAGTGATTTAACAGTGTAGCAACACACGTCTACTTCTCTGCCAAAGAGTACCTATCATGAATATGTATAAGCAGTGAGAATACACCTAACGGAAAACATACGGTTGTTAATCGTTTTGTTTCGTTAACGGCAGCCGAAGTAGCTACGGCTTCAATAATGATCAGCAGCATCATCATACCAAGCAATATTTATTGTTAGCTCACTAGTGATTTTTCAGATTCAATTAGATTTGTAACCCAATTTTTCCAGTGTTAATAGATATGCTTTTCGTATCCACAGACGTTCAGCGCGTCAAGAACTAATAATTCCATCAGTATCAGGTCATTTATAAAAGTAGCTGCAGTAAGAGTAACCTGAAAAGCAGACATCTTTAGTCTAGCCACTGTTCTCGCATCACTTCACCCCAAAATTTATCCTAAAATTTATTGCATCGCCAACTTCTGGAGTCTAATTGTAATAGCTTTAGCTTTGCCAGCCAGTCAAAGTGTAAGAACTACGGAGAGTACAGGAAGACAAGGCGAAATCGCCTTGCATCACCGAGTGATAAAAACACTGAAGATGATCTGTGAAGTGGATTGAAGATATATACATAACGATTATAATGCGGTTCCGGTATACAAATTCGCACAAGCATTCGCAGAGCCACAAAGGGCATGTACACACACACACACACACACACACACACACACACACACACACAAACACACACACACACACACACACACACACACACACACACACACACACACACACACACACAGACACACACACACACACACACGCGCACACGCGCGGAGCTAACCCTTCGCGTAGGTCACGAGCAGTTACAAACACAGCGGCACTCAGAAGTACCACCAAAATAAGACGACTGTTACATTTATCGGCGCGTTTTTCTCTTGAAGTTAATTTGGTTCGACGTTTGAAGGGATGCGCTTGTTTTTACGTCCGTACCGATATAGGCAGTTAGACTTAGGCTACACGCTTGGAAGTGAGTGATCTTTCTTCGTTGGAGCTTGGCCCTGCAAATGCGATGGGAAACCGCCGTGCAGGATAAGCCGAAATCACATTTATAGTGCTGCTACTACTACAGCGTGAACAATTTATGAGGACGATGACAGTTATTAATACAATGGACAACAACAATAACTTTACTAAAATATCGAAAAAATGGCAGGCAGCACGAGAGTTAAGCAATAATAGCAACACAGTAGTAGGTCTCTCTCTCTATTAGGTAACGCCGTTTCAACATGAATCTATGGAGGTGGTAAGCACCTGTAGGAACAGCCATGCAGCAGATGCGCCAGCCTAGGCCTGTTGAAGGTCCTTTGGAGTGGAGGATCCCGGAAGAAGGCCCTTCGGGCTGTTGCTGCCGTATTCGTCTGACTCGTGGCAACATACTATGGTAGGACATACGCACACGTGCACTAAACGAGCGAACATCAAGAGGAAGAGCATATGAAAGTTGCACTACGGGTAGCGATGATGCTAATAGATCAATAATCAACTGTTTATTGAGCTCGAGAGAAGACCAAAGAGGAACGCTACTTGGGGTCACCGGACGGAAACTACCGGGGTTGGAAATACGCTGACGGCTAATATTGAAAGAAATTCTAATTGCAATCTTGTAACTGATTAATTTATACAATCTTGCGATTCAAGTTAGTAGAAAAAAAAGCCATAACAAAGAACGAAACATTATAACTTTGGCTTACTGTTTGAAAATTTATGCGATATAAGGACTTGATAATGAATGGCTGTTGAGGAGAGTGTCGTACACAGCAAAAACGTATCGCCGTGAGGTGACAAGCGTTCGATAACAGGGAAAATGAATAGTAGTTAACGCTGCCTTCGCGAGTTTTAAGCAATCAGCCAATAATATATTACTCAGTTTGATCTCTAGTTAGGGTATATAAGAAATTATTCGGTTATATATATGGCGATCAAAAGTGGCTTCCGTGCTGATGGAACAAGACGACAGATGCTGACGTAGCGTATCAAGCCCCCCCCACATTCTAGACACAAGATAAATTCGACGGAATTCAGAATTACTGATACTTGGAAACAAATTCATTTATCTGACTGAGTAGACTGAGTGAACACATAAACAGTGTGAAATAGGCTGTGAATGTAAGCAAATTTCAACCCACTGTTACCCTAAGCTACTGTGCAATAGAGATTGCGCAAGAAAGCAGCTCTGTGATGACATTATATAGTTAACTAAACGCATATATCTATATACATTGTGAAAGACTCTCATATGGATTATATGGATATAATGCTACTTGGGTTGGATGTTGATCTTCACGACAAAACTAAAGTCCTACAACGTGGGGGTAGTAGCATGCCACTCGGTAAATGTCGTAAAGTTTAATAAGAAATATTTACCAAATACAAACACACAGGTGTACATTCACTCGAATCACCTGATCTTTACGGGCGTTTTGCTCTCTTCGGACAGCCAAATATTCAATATAAAAAGGTCACAACCATTTGCTTGTAGCATTAATTGGTGCATTTTCGGCCCTTTGGATATGACTAAGTTATTTGTTATTAAAGTTACGCCAAATGGCTATCATCCACACGGATTAGACGGTCGTCTAAAGACGGCTTTCTGACTTTGGCCTAAGTTTCCATGAAGAATACTATACCAACAACTGTTGCCTAAGCCCTGTGGCCGAAAAGCCCTTTATAGCTTGTAAATAGCCACTGCTAATGTAGGTATAGATTCAAAACGAAGCTATACAGAGATATTTGGAATAAGATTGGCTTTCGCCAAGTCATATATAATAATGATGATAGTAATTATATACTAAAAAAAAAAAATATATATATATATATATATATATAACGATTTTTGTTACAAGTAATTTATGGATTTGTGTCGCAGAAGTGGATGCGTTCGTGCTTTTGCGTTATGTTGTTCTACTGTCAATGTAGTAGAGTACACTAATTACAATCACCAGAATGCGGAAAGACCTATGGAAATGGTACGGGAGGCAGAACGACGTCGAGTATCTTCACAAGCAAACAATGCTTCATGCGGCGAGCTACAGCGTTCCTCATGCTCATGGCTTCGCTGTGGAAACCATGGACGCGCAGCGAACACATGAGACCCGAGAAAAACGAAGACGATACACATCATACATATATGAATATACATATACGAGTATATATATATATATACATAGTGTAGGATCAATAGATGCTAGAAAGCTAAGCAAAAACCAATAACAATTAAATAATATTCTATTAAATATAAATATTAACGATGGTAATGATGGTAGCGATGAGGGAAAACAGGAAAAAACAAAGGTCCCGCAACGATAAATATGATGCGAAAATAGATGAAGGTCGCGCGACTATGGGCCGGCTGCTAACTGTGCCCGTGCCAGCCCGCGCTCAGCCTCCCGGTACCTTATACCCTATTAGTCATGGAAAACAGTTAGTGTTAGGAAAGGGCAAACGACAGAAGAAGATGAGTATCTGATGCTGGGATTATTGCCATTATGATGTTAGAGCAGAACAACAGCAACAAAGATAGATAACTCGTGCGCGAAGGACGGATATTGAAATTAATGAGGGCAATAATGAGCGCAAGAAGGAAAACAGAGCCTGAGCGAATAAATGCTGATCCTGATGAGTGAGTGACGACACTGAGTAGATGGAAGTGTTCACGCTTGACTAAGATGCGCTCAATGAAAGTATGCCGGAGCATATATCTATTTCCGTCTGTGTGAACGAGTCACAGTAGTAAATAAGGTCAGCTGGGACCTGCAGGAGGAAACGATGACCAACCCTAAGGATACTACACACGATCAATACGGAAAACGATGAGAAGGCTCAGCAAGTATACGCAGAAAGTCAAATGCCTATCACACCGAAAATACCTATCTTCTAACGGTGTGCGCAAACGACTTAGGTCAGATTTATAATAATGATGCAGCAAATCAGAAAGCAAACAAGACTATGGAACAATGATATAACAAAGGTGATGTAACTTATCATAAATATCACGGCGGTGTAGTAGATGTCTACATCGTGTGACCGAAGTTTGTCAACGATAAAGGTCAGATCTTGCTGGATTTTCGTCCGCTGCCCATTAGGTGAGCAGGACAGCTTTTTGTTCAAACGAAAGCCAGAGTAGGCAGGAGAAAATACCGAGATGATTGAGCGTGCCTGGACGATCCATGCGACCGCTTATATTCTGTACTAAACATCACAGATAATGACAGCAACAATGATTATGGCAATAGCTGTTAGTTATGCTAATGAAAATAGTGGTAATCATAAAAAAAGGGCATAGTGACACAAGGCCCATGGGCAGTTGTTACCTATAATATAGGAGGATATATATATAGTGTTGAGATTTGCGATGTGATGGTGGTATTGAACTATCGACATAACCGTTTACAATAGAAACTGTGCCACTGCAGTTCTTCGCCAGCGGCGACGATTGAAACTGCAAAGATGGCAGTAAGCATAACACGGCAATGATCACAATATACGATAAACAACCAGAAAAACAATAGTGACACGTTTTTTTGCGGTATGTTATTAGGACAATTTAAGGACGTTAACAACGAAGGGTGGGTGGTGTTGTGTTTTTCCACATCCGTATAGTTATCTGTTGTCTAATAGAGAACACACGGTAACATAACAACAATTATTGTGAGCATTATTACAGAGACGGCAAAGATAACAACAGCAGAACATTTCCATGATAAACATAAATACTAATAACAATTAGGCTTTTCTATTTTTTTACTTGCCGTCGGCTATGTGTCGGCGAAACACCGAGATGAACTGGTAGCCTTACTATGTTAGTTATTAAGAAGGAAAAAGATACGATGATACCATTAGAAACAGACTCAAAATAGACAGAGTTATTCAGTATGGAACTGAAAGAGATAGCAACAGCGGGAATGACTGCAAAAACAATAACATGTCGAAAATAGACAACAGGTAATAACGATAATTACTATCATAGTTATAATAGCATCACGAATATGAAACAAATTGTAAGATAATTAATAAAAGTAGCAAACAGTAAGTACTTGTCACAGGACGATTAGACAAAAGTGCGCGTATGTCTGTCCGATTGGCTTACTATAGACGGGCGGTCATCGGTAATGATGGCCAATTGGTCTGTATGCTAAATAGAAGAAACTGTAAAGTTATAAAAAAAAAAAAAGAGGATGTCGACACTTATTTTCTTGTTGTTTCGCAAGTAAACGACTCAATGGATGCAAGTTCTATTAGTTGTAACTTCGTCATATTCGACTGGATTTTATGCATTTGCGCCTTTATTCTGCATGTTGCCGATACCCCATGACAAGTTACCTAAACAATCGACTACTTCTACAAACAAAAAAACATATCACGAAAATACGACGATCAAGCGTATGGCTAATCGGGATCAGTTAATATGGCTACTTTACGGGAACTGCAATAGAAACGTGTTAGTTTCATTAGCAACCCAACAACAACAACAACAAAATATTCATTAGTTAACTTGATCAGCATGATGAAAGTTTAATTATGATTATCATATACGGCACGATTACCGCTCTATCGTACTACGCTACGGTGTGACAACCCAAGTTCCTTACTTAAAGTCGATTTATATCTACATCTACTTATTAAGGCGATGATGCAGTAATACACGTATAAATGATAATGGCAGGACAAGCGAATTTTTCTGAAAACATTGTGGATTGTTCTGGAGTGTGTTTCGTGGCGTTACTATCCCTGTTCGATGGCACCCCGTCCCAATTTTTCCTAGTTCGGTTCCTTGGCTTACCCTATCGCTACTTATTGCTCTAGTGTCCTTTGTCAATGACAACACATACTGTATTCTGCGAGTGGGTGATGATAATGGCAAGTTCACTGGACTGTCTAGATAACTAGCCACAATATTGTTGATATTGCATTATCTATAATTAGCTCTATTGAACGATTCTGGATAGACAACGACGATAGTTGTCAGAGCGAAGTGTTTTTGAGCAGCATAATGATTTTACGTGGCTCTGGTCGCACAGCGTGACAAATAAAAGTGAAGTAGTTGTACGTTGCAAGCCTCACAGGCTGTGAGTCACCCCGTCTTATCACATAACACTTCTTGTACTAGTTATCGTTCCATTCCTCCTCTGGACAAAAACGAACACATGCGACTGTTTATTTTCCTCCGTATGCTATATCAATCGGTCTTCACTACCTAGTTGAGCCCTAATGACATGTGCTATCATGGTTAGAACGTCCGCAGGGTCCGTTTTGCTCCGTCTGTTAGTCTTCACGTAATTAGATTTCTACGTTGCTGTATGCCGAGACTATATAACCTTGAATGACGGCTGAAATCAGCCTCACCTAGAATTTTGAACTTGGGATCAATAAAATTTCGGGGCGGGCCGACCTCTCCTGTTTCATCGACAGCCATCACCGATACACGTCGAGCCTCTGCAGTACTGGTGATGATAGTTTAATTAATAACTACAACGGATGTACTATACGAATAATAATCATAGTATTCTATAATGGTTGGTTGAGATTCATCGTTTGCCTGCGACTCCCCTCGCCTTGTTTGCCCCTCAACATATATATATACATATAAATGTCCAAATGGGGTTTGACAACGCTGACTAACCGAGTAAATAGCCAAGTATACAGTCTATTCATTCATAGGTACACTCACGATCATCTCATCGTGCTCGGTTGACTAATGTTTTTTTTTTATATAATTATTGCCCGATACTATCGCATGGGTTTCCTGCTGATATTTACGTGTCTCAAAAGTTCACCTAAGGTCTTTCTTTCGTCCTGATTTACGTAGCTTTGTAAAAATAAAAATAAATATTATTTTGAGGTTTAGCAGCAATTGGGAAGTTGCATTGGCGCTCAATTCAAAGCCAATGATTATATTTGCATAAGCCGAATTTATAAATAGTGTTATCTTGTATCCAAGCCAGATAAGTATATGTTGAAGTGGAATTTGCATTTTGGAAAGTTTCTTTATATATATATATATATATATGTGTCACTTTAGAGTGTCGTCCACTTCTGTGCGGACCATGAGGATCATATTATGCATAACCTACGGATCATAAACCCATATTATCATCGTTCTTACCAGCAGATAGCATGTAGCGACTGGTAAAGCCTTTATAACGTCGAATGTGAAGTATCGACAAAAAAAAAGTAGCGATAGTGTTATATTAATTTTAATAACTTTTGCGCATGCAAAACTCAAAAACGTCCGACCATCGACATATGCACATCAGTGATACCTTCCGTTAATCCATACCTAGGCAGAGCTCCTGCTCTTCAATAATACTTTGCAGGATGATTCAGGCCATATTCCTGACAAATTAACTGCTACACACGTTTGTGGTATCAGTCTCTTAAAACTTTATAATAATGCTAAGCGTGAATAAGTTCTAAACCATAATTGAACTGAACGCGTTGCTTGTTTGTGTGTCTGGATTGGAGGTGTCTCCCGTATATCAATCAGTACATTAACGATATTGAGAATACAGATTTTCAATTCGAGGACGGGGTGCGCGCATTCCTAGGGGCATCCACAAACAGACCATCAACTATCTAGAATTAAGCCATGGTCCGATAGGTATCGAGTGCAAGAGAAACACAAAGCAACAAATGGATCTTAGAAAGCCTGTAGTACATTAAGTGAGACTTACGAAGAACTCAGAAAATGTTGTAATAACAAATAACGGACACTGCCCTCAAATCTGAAAACTACGCTGATCTGTCAGACCACGCCGTGCGGGGCATGACTCTGCATCATCATCATCATCACACGTCATCGAATCATCCAAGCAGGCAACAAGATAGTGATGATGCAAGAACGATGGGCTGGCCAGAAAAGTGACGACGATTATGACGGTAATTGATGCGTTCTCACAATATCGTTTTGTAGTTTACCGTCCCGGACAGAACTTACGTCTCGATTAGTGACAGAAACATAAACGCCTTGATAGCGAACGTGACGCAGGCATTGAGAATAGCAGACGACAGTACACGATAAAACACGTCAACATTCATAATAGTGGTACTAAACGTAGATCCGAAAGCATACTAACATTGAACACGGGTGCGTGGTAAACAAAGAAACGGAAGAATCCAAAGGGCGAACAGCGTTAGCACGGGGCGGGCAGAGACAGAGAGAGACAGAGAGAGAGAGAGAGAGAGAGAGAGAGAGAGAGAGAGAGATAGTACGAGTAAATAAAAAGGACAAGTTCAAGCGAGAGAGAGAGAGAGAAACATAAGTTACTATTACGAACATTGTGGTGGTGGTTATTGATTTAGTGACATTTTCTAATTATATTTGCGATGGACGAGAGAAAAATGCTATACAAAAAAGATGATTTCCGTGTAAGCATGCCACGATGACGTCAACGATAACTAAGTATATAATAATAATAATAATAATGTGTTCCGCATTGATAATTGATCGTATCACGACTCTTTTCTCTTTGTGTACATTTCCCGATATACTAAAACAAGTTAAATAAATCGTTTTCTTGATAATTAAAGGAGCAGAGTTGTTTTGATCTCTTCTTAACATTTTACATGTGTAAGAGGTTAGCATAGTATTGCATTCTTTAACACAGTAGATCTGGAACTCCGCATCAAAACACACTATTGATATCATAGGAATCTCATATATATATATACACACGTTGATAGAAAACGGAGGAGAAGTGATACATCTATTGAGTAGAAATAACGTATAATAAATAAGAAAAGGCATTTAGAACTATATTAGCTATCGTATGACATGTTGTCTCATATTTACTTTTGTAGCACTATCCAACTTTGATTTCATGAGAGGTATCACGTTCAGGCCTTCTCAATTTAGGTGGCACAGATATTTTCGCAGAAGCCCATGCTTTCGCGATAACTATCAACGCCACCTATAGGCAATTAAATAAGTTAAATAACGTACAACAAAATGTTCAAAACTACTTCTACTGACAATGGTTTCTATCGCCTCACAATACAAAACGTAGCTTAATCTTTAGGAGGTCACTCCAGAGTGGCGGTATCTGCGGGGGATAGAAACGAACGGGACAAAGGTCAGAAACAGATAATGTCATTATTCTAGGCGATAATGATCGCACCGTTATCGCATGTTATTGTGCGACTACCGGTGACGATTAGCGATGTCGAAAACCTGATATTTTATGAGGCTTGACTGAAGTCAGCCAATTTGATTCTGTGTGCGAGCCCTTGGCCTCCCAGCCCTTTCCCTCAGACGTCAATTGATTCAATCGGGTCGGTGTGACGAAATATTCGGGGGGCCTGAACCAGCCGTGGGTCATAACTATTGACGCTCACTGCCTCGATTACTATACCACCACTGCGACAGTCTTCGTAAATTTTGAAACTTTAATAAGTAAAATGTCGTTAATAATTGTATTTTGAGGTACGTGTACGCAAATTGTTTGTATGAAAAACGTGTGCAAATATGGCAATAAAATACTGTATGCGTAGATCAATAGTTGGCCTGCGTATGCCCTGCTTTTGTCCGACAACGCTTATTTTTGGTGTTGACGTTCATTGTTTTGTGCCAATAAGCATTTCGATATACTGTGTAGAATGCTTTTTCGAACACCGTCATACTGATTTCAGTTGTGAAAGCATGGCATGACCGCTTGTCTTTTCGATGGTTTTCTATATTATTCAGGTGAAAGTACTTGTTCTATTGTGCATTTTATATTTTAAGCTAATTTTAAAGCCCAATGAACTTGATCTATAAAGTTAAAATGATAATGATTTGGTTAAAATTTAGTTATAATCGTACTATATATAGGTGCACTTAGACTTGTTTTTCAGTACTTAAATGACACCTATGTTATTGGTAATGACAATTAATATGTGTTAGCTTAAATGCAAACGAAGCTCTGGTCGGATCCAAAGATGTATTCCAATAGTTTTGTATTGCCAAATAATTCTAGGATCATTTCCGTCCCCTTCCTTCCCTTCCACCTCCCCCGGCCGTGATAACCTGGCGGGTAACGAATTTGTCTGCTAACCGTGGCCGGGTATGGACGCATGGTTTGTTTCGTGCTGGGAGCCAGCTGTCTACTCGATGAAACGCCTAATGGCGATACTGGACGTAAAACTCGAAACATAGAGGATCTGAAAATAACTGGGAGAAGAAACGTTGGTACTTTTAGGAACAGTAGTTAATTTCGTAAACACCGAAAGCCTTCAAGACAACCGTGTCCTCCTGACGGTAAGCTTCTTGACAATCCTCAATTTTTTCATCATTTTAAGCCACAGTGAAGATAAGGAATTGTTGAAGGATAGACAAGCCTCCAGTGCTATTTCTTGTCGTGTTTTACGTAGGCTCTGTAGCTTTCTAAGCATAACTACAAGCGGTTAGCGCTTTATAGCATGAGATGCTGTGCCCCGCTCTGAACCTAGACTACCACGGTTATTCTCACTAGTAAGTTAGTCGCACGTAGGCTTATTTCAATATGTGTTTTTGGTTTTCACAGTAGTTCGAGTTTCTGCACTGTATGATAAAATGCAAAAAGATGTTTTGAAGGCAGTAAAATCTTACCTAAAATAATTTTTAAGAAAATAATTTTAAGAAGCATGACAGATCAATAAGTGGCACAGAGGTCGAGTTCAGGAAACCATACATGAAATGTATACAAGAAAAAATAATCTTGATTGTATTACGTGTAAAGGCCTTTAGGCGGTCCTGGATCAGCGAAGATCGCGAGTACGCGCATCAAGCGATCAGAATATGGTCCGTGCTTCCGTGCCCTTCGGAGCGTATGCAGCGTATGTTTCGTATGGTGTAAGTAAATTATTCTACGATGCTCTTCCTAGGAGCGGCCGTGCTTGCTTCAACGTGTCTAAATACATACGATGATGATGATAACGACCGTGTTTGATCCAACGGCTCGCGATCGCCGTCCCGTGATTACCGCCAATATTCTCTATATGGTGAATCAGATGGCGATGTTCCTGCGGCTTGAGAACAGCCCGTAGCAGCAATACCAGTTCATTCTTAAGTTTCAACCATCAAGCAGCTATAGCGTTCACGATATTTGCTCCGTTTGTTGTCTGCCTGCTTGTTGTTGCAACGTGGTCCATCATATCGTAGTGCAGTCAGAACCCCAACAGTTCCGACGCTGCCTTTCGTATCGTCGCTTCTCGCCATATTCTTCTGGCCTTGGCGTGGTCGGTGTCTTCCATGTCGGTGATCTGGCCCGAAACATCTGGCACCAAGGTTCGAGAGGGTTTGCCGCCTGGATCATAAGCGCATACTGCGTATCAAAGAACGACGAGCCACTATTGCCAGCACTACGATTATTGAAGATACAACTATTCGTCGTTGATAGGCAGCAGGACAAAGCACTGCCCAGCTGGCCGCAGCGCCTGGCAAATGCAGAAGGGAGAGAAGGCGCGCCATAGGAGAAGACCAACGCGTTCAGTGCCGCTTTCACATTCTACGAGAATATTCTCTATATCAAATTTTGTTCAGCTTAGACATTGGATTAAAACGCTTCTAAAACAACATACTATATGACATGCTATATTTTTAACAGTGCACTATTTGCCCCACCAACTCGACATTTGAAATAGCATTCTATTGGCAATGAAGAAGTTTTATGCATTTTCACAGTGAACACTATTTGGATTGATCGAAAAATTTCAGAATAAAGTTATGTTATGGGTCAACAGCAGAAAAAAAATCAGCTTATTTGTGACACACTGCGTTTCTAGAAGGATAACATCATTTCTCAATCATAATTTTAGCGCTCGTATTATTAATTGTATCACCGGCAGCACTAGCGCTGTACTGCCGTCACTAGCGCCGCACTGCATTTCGAAGCTCTAAGTACGACGGCAGTACAGCGCCTTTTCATGCCCTCAATTGGACATTGTGAAAATTCAACTTATAGAGGTCGGCTTAAGGAAGTATTTTAATGTTAAAACGCGATTTTTTCACCACTCTGAAGTGGTGAAGTTCCAACAAATTTTAGAGTATAAGATAACAATAGATAATGGAGCACTGACGGTTTATTTACTAGTGTATAGTAGAAAAAATAGAAAATCAAAAGGGCGAGCTTGTTGAGCTGACTTGTTAGCGAGCTGTATTCTGCCAGCATCATAAAATCTGAAATCTATTAAATAAAATAACAAAGGTGCTAATTAATCAGTTTACATGAATTTTCAAGGTGTTTTCTAGAAAAAAATAAATTAAAAAAAAGTGCTGGACTGCTGGTAGGTTTTCAGGGCATGACTAGAGATCTAGAACGGTCAACCCGGATCGCACTATATGTAAACAAAGATAGAAAGGGTACCTTTAAAGAGCTATTCTAGAGCCCTGTTTTTAAACCCCGACTGCAAATGCCAGGACTTCTCTGAAGAGGCCAATGATTCGAGTTCTACCAACGGTAGGTAGAACTCGATAGGTGCTCAACTAAACAAAAACATAACATTACTTAACATTACATAACTAATCTTCCCCATTGAAAAGTGATAAGCATGAGTCACTTTTTCGAATTTGTTATCGTCCATATGATAATTTCGAAAAAAATCTCGCAGCTTCTGCATATACAATGAACGAGGCTGTTGAATGTTGCAGGAATGGCAAGAATTGCGATATATGGGCTTGCGATGCCCGAATAGGCCACGACCATACGGCATGCATTGGCTAACGTTAACAGCTGACAAATCCCGTAGTGCTGAAGATATCATAGATTAAACGGTAATAAACATTATTTATTTACGACAAACATATCACCAATTCTGCTTCGTTAGTCAATATCAGGTTTTCAACTTTTTTACATTTTTGGCTGTTCCTACTGTGCGAGCAAATCACCAGAATCATCTTCAGATAATCACCTACTATAGCAACGTGTTGACTGGGTCATTGAGAGCCTCACACTGATTATTACTAAGAGCGGAACCCTAGTCTGCTCATCCAATTTTACTGTTTGTGTCTATTATATAAAATGCGTTATTATTCAAGTACAACTTGCGTGTATAAAGGTGTCGATCTTCGAGGAACCGATTGAACTACGCACGTTTTCGCCTTAGGTAAATGACTGGCGGTTACCATAAGTGAAAATTGAAAAAAATATATATATATATATTAGACATTTGAAGCTCTTATTTTTTTCTTTTTCAGTCTGCCTGGTGGGCAACCAGCTAATACCATAGATTCCTACTCTACTTAGTTTGCACGAAAAGCTAGCTCTCTGTTGGGTTGAGATTTTGTTGCCGTTCACAACAGTGATTGGACGGGCAGCTCCACAAAGCAGATGCTTCGAACGGAGGGCATAATTAAATCGTTCGATAACTTCCGACTTCGGAACAGAAGCAGCAAGGACATGATGCAAATAAAGGAAAAGGAAAATGACACTTGGGTTGGCGGCTACCATACAGTTTATTATTGATGCTTCCTGTATAATTGGTGAAAATGCAGAACACTATTACGTAAACGATCGTCGAAAACTGTGTATAGAATATGTTTGTACAAGCATATGTGCAAGCGTTTGTGCAAGCTATCGTATGCATCGATGCAAAACAATTAAAAAATCGACCTTCTTAGTCGAAACCTACTATACACACTACCCGACGTGTTTAAATCCTAACAAAAGATCGATCTGAAATCTACGAGGTACCGTTAAACGTCTGCTGCTAAGCAAACGTAAGCCATGCGAAAATGCAGTTTACCTATCAGCAAAGAGATAATTTACTTCGTGGATCGCAACGAAACGACCCCGTTCATTTTCAGGGGTTTTGTGTGGCCTTTTTTATCCTTGCCGGTCGACTTGATAAAGATAGATTTGTGCTGATGCATCCACTGTGGAACTATTGAGCCTGTTGAACAACATTTATTCGACGCATATCTTTTCAGTATCTTTTGTGGAGTTTACGAAACGTTTGCTGAACATGATTAGGTATCCGTGAAGATTGAAAAATAGACAGGCTATTTTATGCGATCTCTTCGGTCAACCCGTCTTATGATCATAAGCTATGCTCTTCTGTGACGGCCACAGAGCGTAAGTCATATTAGGAATAATATCGCCACCTTCACCAAAGTCCTCCCGAAAGCCTGGTAGTACCAGTCATTGGTCCAGTTAATCCCTTGGTCACTATGGCGCGCCGCACCGTAGTTCCCGCTAGACCTTGATGATATTCCTAAGTAACATGCGGACTTTCAGCTGTCGAATAGGTGTAGTTAGCCGGATTAATGTTCCGAACTGGATCATTTTTACGGATAACATTGGTGGGATGGAACTTTCCCGATTTACAATTGCTTCTGCATCTTTGTATTCTCAAAAATTAATCTTGATTTACTTGCAATTGATTAGATCCTGCACAAAGAAGCAATCAGAAAGTTATTATCAATATATATATATATATATATATATGTATATAGTGCTTGATGGCATAGTGGATAATGCATATCTCCGATTATTGTGAGCTTGCACTTGGAACAACAATGAATGGACTGAAAATAATATTACTTTATTGCAGTTTATTGCTGAATTACGCTGTTGAACGTTTCGTTTCATTCAAAGGGTCAAGGACTCAAATTGTATAGTGATAAAAAAAATGACCTCACAAAGGCTCGAACTTGTGGCAAACGCGAGATACAAATAATAAGAGCTAAAAACATTGAGATCCGTAGCTGTGAATCGTTCAAAGCTCAACCCACCCCGAAGCCAAGATTACGTTGAGCAAATCTATTAGACCTTCTAAGTTCTTATAACTGAGTCACCTCGTGGAACTTTATAGCTTTCATTGAAAGAAATTTTGCCCATTGTATTAGGCATGGCAGCAACAAATGTATATACATGTGTTGAATACATTATGTGGGCCATGTGTATTGAATTGGGTCACCGGAGCGAAAAGTTTTACACATGTCCCAATTCATCATTACTGCTGATAACACAGAGAGAAAAACAACGACGCTTCCTTACCGAGTAATAACGTCCACAGCAACATATTATAATAACTGCATGGAACACTGTTAGCTGCTTTCCAATATCTGCGAATCAGAACAAGTTTGACAGAAGTTATGGTAAAAGGGGTTCTATTTTTTTTATTTGACCCCCTTTCATCTCGCTGCTAATGTAATCAATGTAGTTATGTTGACCCAACGCTTAGGGAAAATCAAGTTCAAGGTATGCTAGCCCAATGGTATGATAGCCATGTATCCAGGCACGGGAACATATCGCTGCATGTAGCATACGCCAGCTCTATCATAGCGGTGTCATGACTAAGCTGACACACGAACTAGCCAATGGACATACAATACGTATAAACGCGTATATATATATATCAGTTGGCAATGATCCCGAGTGTGGTCTGCATGGCCAAATCGTGCGCAGGTAGCATCGTTGAGGTCCGATTTTGTTGTTGTTGTTGTTGTTGTTGTTTGATTGCAGTGAGCATTTTGGGTATCGATTGAGAAACTGTTTTTATATTGGGTCCTGACGGATAACAAAATATCTGTTCTGACTTTGTCACATGCTTACTCGTATATTATGAACGACTCTATGATGATCGAACCAGTGTTACTTGCACCGTGGCAAACTTGAACTCTGAATCGTGTTTCTATGTAAACGAGTTTACAGAGGAAGCCGTGATACCAGGTGTGATCCTCTATCTGCGCTGGCAATGTTGCGTAACGGGAAAGGCAGCTTTCTTTTCTTTCGGTATAACAGCTACGTGCGGTGGACTGCTCGCACGTACTAGTCAACCGGTTTATTGAAAGCCCGACTTTGAATGATTTTCTACGTATGAAATTAAAGACAAAGCCAAAGAGATCTAACTACGCTATATTCTTTTGCCCGATGTCCAAAACAATGAAAAAAATATATAAAAAGTATATTTTAGATTCATCGTCGTACCGGAATCCATTCGGTACAATGTTTTATGATCGGCGGACTACGAAATCTTTGGAGCGTTGAGTTATTGTCCATTTCATTTACATGGCGTTGTTGATGATGCGTATTATCGCGTACTTAACTGCTCAATATGACGTTACGTCTCGTTGGCACAATACATCTTATTTAATAATACTCGCTTCGGGGTTTTTCCAAGGGGAACAATCATTAAAGGACTTCGTTTTTACTTGACGATTAGTCAGTCATCAGCGGCGAACATTTCCATGATCATTGCTTTTGGTAGTTTAATGCGGCCGCGACAGGTACTGAAGGTAAACTAGGTTTTTTAACGCAAAGTTTCTGCATCCAGCACCTTCTTTGCCGCGATTACTGCTGTTAACTTAAACTTTAACTTTTCACCTGTCATAACACAACAATGGTGTATGCTTATCAGACACGCGGCCAACAGTTGGTTACACAGCGCCATTTCAACATCTGAGCCATCTGGAATAAAAACACTATTATGAGCGCCTTTTTGTCAATCACTTTTCTGCTTTCTGTATCTTCTTGTTCATCTTTATCCAATGACGGACTTCTGCTGCCTTTGTAAAGTCGGTATAAGTAATGACCACGGTCGTCTTGTGTACGTGTTGATGATAACTTGCGCTTCTGCGCGTTGCGTAAGATCATGGCGGCGATACGTCTGCTGTAGCTATCTGAGCCGGTCAACGATCAGGCGTTCTGGCGACCCGTAACACTGTTGGTAGCCTCGTGGCACAGCCGTGCTGTGTCTACTGCTTACGGATGGTAATGATGCTGTGAGCCAATCAGTTAAGAAGACCAATCCGACGACAAGCCTGCACAGCAGAGGGGCAAAAAGGTGCAAGGGCTGTTTACCGTTATGCCGCCAGCAATTGCGGCAGTTCACCCTATAGGGGGACACCGCATGCGTCCGGTAGCGCTGGACTATTCTATGTGTAGGGGCCGACCGGCGAAGATGCGCCAGCGCTCACTTCTGGTTGCGCTCCTTTGCGCGGCCTTAGTGTCAATCTCTAGGTGCGGTGCAGAAGCTTCACAGGATAACGCGCGCACTGGAGATGTGGGGGAAGCTCATGTCGGACAAAACGCGAACGAACCAGTGGCAGGCGACAACAGCGACGAAGCGAAGGCGCGTACAGGTGACAAAGTTCTGGACAAAACTTCAACAGGACAAAGCAAAAGCGGTGAATGGGAAGTGTCAGGGAATACGTTCAACACTGGATTCTATTCGGCACAGAATAGAGAAGTGATTGTGAGTGACAGTCACGATAAGGGTCGAAGTGGTGTCAACAGTGAAAACAGAGAAATAACGCACGCTCGCTCTGGATATCTGATTGGGAACCCTGCAGAGAATAAAACAAGAGTAGATTTTGAGTCTAAATTAGGCTCCCTTATGGACTTACTAATGGAAAAGGTGACAGGTAGTAGACTAACCTTAAATGCTCTCGACCGAATAGACGAAAATTGCACGCAGGCGTTGCTACGATGGGTTGTTGCATTACGAACAATGAAACCGTGGGCTCTGAAGAGTAAGTCTATGCTTGTGATCGTAAACTAAGTCATTTTGATTATAACGGTTATGCTCGTTGAGAGATTTTCATAATAGAAATAACAATAATGCTATTTGTTTTCTATTGCTACAGTTATTTTCGGGTCATTTCGAGCCGTTACCTCGTACAGTGGCACGTAAATTATAAATTACTAAAATATTCTTAAAATCAAATATCGTGAAAGGGGTATGATCTACATCATTGCGTACAGCGCATATTTGCCCCTGACGTAATTGTCCTGAAGAAAAATATGACTTCACACTTATTGCTGCACACTTCATTGGTACGACAGGAAATAATATCGTTGAAGGTGGACTTTTTACGAGAGCATTCACGCACTGCCCAGTTTTAATGCGGCTTTAAAATAAGACAGGTGTATAGGCAGTCACGTCTTACGTATCTCAAACTGAATGTTTATTTCATTTACTATAATAATTATTAAATAGTCGCTCGATCGAAGACTGCAAACAGAAGCAAATCCTATAATAGCCCATAATTTATTTTTCACTCAGAGGCGTTCGGCTAATGTCGATATAGCCATATATAAGAATACCGTGTACCACTGCCTATTTTCCTGAAAAGATTTTCTCAAGCCGTAGCCTAGTCAACGCTTTGCTGCTGCCGCCGATAGGTCGATTAGCGACTAACTTAAATAGACTAAACTTCTACATAACATTTTCGCCTCGATACTTTGTTACGGTGATTGATGACAAGCTTATGGATCCAGGTGTGAGAAAAATGCCCAATTTTGCAATCCTTGACGTGCACATGTTCGTTTTTTTTTTTAATACATATTCACGCCTATAGCTAAATTTGGGCACTGGCCGTTGCGTTGTGTAATCTGAATTGAACAGAGCTTATCAGTCAAGGAGCGCAACCTCACCGCTACCTCTGATTGTGGACTGACTAAAGGGATTCATTACAGGCTGCTGTTAATAAATAAAGTATACTTGAAATATATGTGAAAATGAGCGTTCCTATTTGCCACTGGACGCAAATATGCAATAGAAAAGTGCAGGGTCTACGTTTTAAGATCTTGGCGGCCCTCAGATAATCCGTCTCAGACAAATCTCATTCTTCATCTAATTGAAAAGGACACGTTTTCATGCATCTATATAAGATAGATATCGTTGTCTCTGACACTAATTTATGATCAAATGAGCATTGATTTATATATAAATATTCTCCAAATAATCTGTCGTTCAAACCATTGATTACTATTATAAAACGAGTTTAGGAGGTGAGACAGACATTTTCTGTACACTCTCGTTTATATCTCTGGTTTGCAACGACATTTGTAGTTACCTACATAACTTAATTGGTCTACGTATCTGCTGTTTTGTAGCAAACTTTCGAGAAATATATATTATTATACACGTGAAGGACATAAATGATTCCAGTCGCGACTAATGTAACATCATAGTAATCAATGATATCGCTTACTGTGAGTCAAAAGCAGCGAGGTACTTGTATGGGAAGCAAAGATGTATGACTTTTTTTTTACGTTAGCGGAGACGCCTGCCTCATCAGAGTTGGCCCAGCCTTCGCTGACGTTCACAGATTGAACACTTGGAATTTGTTTTTCTTGCCATGCTTGTTGTAATTTACCTCATTGGCTTTAGCAAGAGTTGCGGACAAGAGTCACTTGCTCTGTATGTTCCTTTGTTCTGTACGTGTGCTTTGAAATACATTTTGGTCGATTCGTGTGCTTAAGGTCCAGGACCAGTCAGTGTCTATGTCATCACCTAGATGATGCATGTTGTACGCTCAGAATTGCATAATCTTTGGATCAGACGGCTGATGACATCCAGCAAGAGATAAATGTATCTGTGCCATGATCCGAATCCAGTACTCTGCATGTGAATAGCGCTGGCCGGCAAAGGTGTTGCCACCGCATCGTCGGAGGGATTCGTGCACGTTTACCGACTTTAGGCTTATGCGAACCTATTGACTATTTTTAGATGCTAATTTTCTGAAGGAAGGTTAACTATTGTAATGATAATTTACAAATTCAATATTATAACTTAAAGCTGTAGTTGACGCCAACCGTATTAAAGTTGATACTATTCAAAGGAACTGTAAACACGTCTGAAAGCATCAAAATGTTTTAATTCAGATCCTTTTTCAGATATCGGTAAACGTTAAATCATAAAGAAATTTTTGTCATCGCCATAATGACTTCAACTTAGTTATTCATTTTAACTGATATAATCGATGTGTACGTATAGCTCATGTGATACTTCTGTTTTTTGCGTGAAATCTTCCGTTATACGACTAGACCTATCCTCAATAAGAAACATAATAATCCGTTAGAGTTCCTATCCAGCGGCGGAATACCGCTGAAGAATCGTTTCAAGCCAACTCAACGATATCTGAGATCGGTATAATAAAAAAATTCCAAAGAAGGTTGTCTGTTTTCACATGAAGACGGATTTGTTTGCCACAAGTGTTCATCTATTTACGTTAATTTCATTAAAAAAAAAATGGTAGCCATCAGTAATACGACGTTCGTATGTAAAGGGTTCGATTTTTTGCTGGTGCTTCATCGGAGTTGGCTGAACGTTAGACCGTATTGGTAAGGATACCACTGGGCTCAAGTGAGCCCAGTTACCCTGTTAGGTGCTAATGGTGATCGGCGTTTTGCGGATCGACACCCTTCGAACTGTAAAGTTCGGCGTAAAATTTGAGTAAATTCGAAAAGATCGACTGCTCTTTGCGGGCGCAATGACGTTATAGTTCCTAGTAGCGAGCTCAGCATAATAGTATATTACTACGGCTGTTTTGTCCTACGAATGTCTTATTCGGCGCCGAAATGACTTTTCCAAACTTTAGTAGCTTACCGATTTGCTATAAGGCGTTACTCCAAACTAAACGTCGTCTGTTAGAGCGGTGATTCAAATTCGATCAGAGGTAACTTGTCAGATTCGTTGGAGAGAATTTGTTGGGGTTCGTATTTGCGAGCAACAGCAGCATTACGAGGTCAAATCAGATGCGCCAGAACTACAGCCACCTGGAGCAGGACAAAGATTTGGACTAACATACTGGTACGTCGAACCGTCAACGTTATACAGGGTTACCTGCTCGTCCTTCTGCTGCTTGTTTATATGTAATATTCTAGATTTCAACATACTGAAGGAATCTAAATTTCCTTTTTACATATTTACGAGAGCTTCATGAAGTAATCAAAATGTTGTATTTCAACAGGACTTTTCATTTTTCTATACACACTGTGCTATACGCCATTTTATGAATGCTAGAGAATTTGGCCTTTTCCTTGTCGAAAGGGAACGCTGAAATAACCGTTACAAAATGGTGCGCCGACGGTGGCCGTGCGCAACTGACATGCTTGTAAAATCGTGTTAGAAGTTTGGACCATCTCTGCAAATCACCCCCAGGCCACCACCACTACTATCACAAGGGAAGATACAACCTTCTAACGAAAAAACAGCTCGGCAGAACAGAAATTGTATTACGTCATTAAGTATTGAGGGATGCTTTTGCACTATAAATTGGTCAGTATGCGCCTTTTTCTTCTGACAGATAACAAAGAGGTAACAGTCGAAGTAAAGTGTTGCACCAACGAAAAACTACAAAATTGAAATTAGAAGCACTCTATCTGTAGACGCTAATAATGTTCACCAGCAATCAAATTATCGAGATATAACGATCAAAGCAAATAATGGATGAGCCTTGAGTTGAGAATTCGTAAACATCCAGCTAACTTCAGTACACAGGAGTACGCATCTATGAGACAATCAACTCGTGCTCAAATAAAACGATGTGTGCTAATGGATCCATTTCCATTACAGTTTAGTCAAGCAATTGAGAATATTCGAATGACGAAAGTGCCTTCTGGTGGATATCGTACACACTACAGCTACCCGCCTTCGGCATGGCAGAGTCATTGTAGTTTGACACAAGCCGGTATCGTTTGATTTCCCACGTAAAGCGGCCAAGCGTTTCATGTGACAGTGTTTGCCGCGTCGCGAACGCTTTGGGTAAGAGACCCTCACGGTTGGCCTTCAGCGTCACATTGGGGGTGACTCGATCGAATAGCTGGACACACCAGCGGCAGTAGCAACAGATTACTGACTTTTAGCGACACCAATGTCGACCATCCTTGTGCCCCCTCGCCCCCCGCCGATACCCACCGGCGTGATAACTGGCTCACTTATTAGCCACGACTTCGTCCTACCCTGTTCCTCACCATCATCATTATCACGACAAGCATCAGCCCGTGTCTGATCTTCATTTTCGCACACGGAATAAGCTATGTAACCTGCCATCATATGTGCTCCGTTCTGATCCGGTGGAAACGTATGCGTTTAATCCGCATTTAACTTACGTCGACATGTTTTTTCACTGACGCAACCAGTGCTATAGAAATAAATACGTGGCTCTAACAAAAGCAGACCCTAGTTTATGAGCGAGCTTTGATTTCTGTAAAAGCGAGTTGCTGTTTCTTTTTCGGTTTTATAATATAGAGATTGTATCGAATCAGCTAAACCAGGTTCTTTTTTTTGAGCAAAGGACTCCGCATGAATACTAATTAATCTTGTATGAAATTAATTTTCCAGTCTGTAGTAGGATTATATAAAAATGCTGATTTATATGGGGTGTGAGGCTCTCTCATCGAAAGGCCTCAGGCTTACCGGACGTTCTGCATTCGTAGAAAGCCAGTAAATGTTTACTCCGTATGGGTTTCATAAGAGATCGCTACGAGCTTCAGCTCAATCGTTGCATCGTTGCGCTCAAAAAAGCTAGTAGATGCAATGGAACAAGAGCTAAAACCACGAGCTAGCTGACCATACGGGATACTGCGTGCGCAACATGCCCGTGATCGCCTACCGGTTTTCTGTGGCGTGACTTATATCGTTGGAATCGAAAAGCTTGAAAGCGTGTTTCTTTGCTGTACCCTTTAAATTGTAAGGCCCTCTGGTTGTGCCACCGCACGTTCTCTCGTTACGAATGCCCGCTATGGCAACATATTGTACAACGGTTGTACAAAGTTATTTATCTGGAATTTTATACCGAAAGCTGTGACAATAGTTTTAGAAAACAGCCTTTCTGCAGGTGCCGATTGTAAACCGTCTATCAATTGAACTTCGATACCGCATCTTTGCTGATTCTCCCATGCGTTAGGTTAATTAGCAACAAAAGTACGCCAGGCCATGCGAAGGAGTAATAATTTAGTAAGTGGCTCACCTACCTACGGCTAGAGTCAATGATTTTGGACAGTGAACGCTTACGCAGTCATCCCTAGCTTTACATTTTGATCAACACTGATTTTTTGCCCACTGGAAAACGTGCTAGCTAAAACGTGGCTGCTTCCGTTCCACACACTCCTTTGAAACGAATGGCACGAGAACATCATATGCATATGAAGCCCATCGTCTTGAGACCTATATTGTTCCATGCAGAGATTTGTTGCAGGGACCAAATCCAGCCCATATATCGGGTTGTGTTAATTGTTCGTATTTGCTGATTTCTTCTAGGACACCGTTTCGGCTTTGCAGTTATAGGTTATTTTTTAACCCATTCAGAAGTTTAATCGTGTACGTGATTTCTAAATGTTTCACTGACAGGAACATCAGCAACAATTGCAAATTTGTTGCAAGACATTATATATGTTGTCCTATCTAAAGGCGCTCACTTTAACCATCGTATAAAAAAAAAACCAAAGCCTCAGTATATACCAGCTATTTTCTGATGTGTGAACATATATATTGGCCCACGTTGGAGGTATATTTTTTAGATTTTTAGATACGACAAATGTGCGACCGATGATTCTCTTCAATTTTTCTGGTAATATCCTCATTTATTAGTACGATCTTCTACGGTTTCTAGACAAAACGTTCTGACGTGTGACATCTGTATCACCCCATTTTAGCCAAACGAACGCCATTCATGAATTTCTGCAGAAACAAAAATAGAAGACAGGGTTTCGGCTATGCGGGGGATGTTTCTCCATTTAACTTTTCTCCATTTTTTCCGGGTAGCCAAAGATGACTGTTGCGTGGCACGGTCATGGTAGAAGACAACATCTAATTTTTTTTCTCCAGTAAGCTATAGTTAGCTTGTCAGTTGTTGACAGTCGAGGCGCGAACCAATCGTTCTGTAAGACGGCAACTACTTATAATGCCCGATTTCTTTTTAATCTCAACAACAACTTAGGGCATCACGTCCTCTGGCGTCAGTCTAGGTTAGACCACATATTATCTCTAATGTTTTTTGTTATACTTGTACATTCACATTGTGGGTGATTTATGTTTCACTATCCGTGATTAACCGCTTTGGAAAAAACTCAATTTCGCTGTGTTTATGTAAAGTTTCGCAGACGGAAACACGATAGACTAAATTCCTGTGCGTCTTTTCGCGTGGCGCCCAAAATATCGAACCTATTTTTTATAGGCGCTTTTTTCAAATGGTTTAAAAGTATTTGGTAATGGATGTCTAACTTCATTGGCAATATGATGGCTATTCGTATGTTGGTGTTGCTCAACTTCCGCAACAATTTCATCAACTTCTTCCGTACTTGGTCGACCACTACGAAAACCAACTTGTACATAGAAATTTCCATAGCGAAAGTAACAGAACCACCGACAATGCGTCTTGATCATAAATAGTCAGCGTTCGTGCCATTATCGTGGTAAAATTGTAAAATGGCATGATTTTTTATAGAAATCTTTCAAGGCATTCTATCCTATGTCTGAATAATGGCGTTCGAACAATGGCACCATATCTTCCACTGTCAAATCTTACCTGTCAAGTGACATCGCTGCGACCCGTCCTACTTAAGGTAGGCAGGCGCCTTTAACGCCATCTCGATATAGAAACGGCCAGTACGTTTCCAAGTATGGCTAAAATGCTGAATGTAATTTAAAGGAAATCTATTTGTTTTTTGTGAAAATGCAGACTTCTGATCGATACGTTATTTTACATATAAATATAGGTACTTATTTGGGCACTGGCTAATTAGATTAATAGTATCACTACACAATGACTCATAATTTAGAAAACAATTTATGGGAGTCAGAAATTATCTATATTTGTCACACGTTCTATTAAAACATTTCATCTGTGTTAGCGAAGTTATTGGCAATCAATTTGTTACCATCTGATGTTCGTTTTGAGTGATCTTTTAAGAGCAAATATAAGTGCGCCAGAAAACGCGCGTAAATATAGACTGTTAAAGTGCATGTCACAGAAGAGACTAAAACTATGAGTAGGCTTCAATAATAGACGTATCATCTCCTGTTCGCCGTCGGGTTCCGTTATTTCGAAATTATGGGAGATTCGAGTAACCCCCCTTGTAACAACATCATCTGTCCAGCGATTTGACATCATCTCCACCGGTATAACTTAGCATAGCTAGCCACAATGAGAACATCTTGAGTTTTGTTTCCACAGAAAATTTTGCGTTTTTTTTTTTCATAGGGAAAACACTTTTTGTTGACTGGTTACCTCAGCCTTTACAGATGAGGGTTGATAAGTGCCATCAGATAGTATTAATCTGACGTTTATCTCGTAAACATCAGATTATTACTTGTATTAATAAAGAAATATTTTTAGAATCGAGACCATCAGAAATACGTTTCTGAAACCCTACGACGAGTTTTTACTATTAGTTTATAAGAACCACACAACTTAAAATTTTACCGGCGTGGAAGCTCTACATAATAGCTATTTTAAAACCAAATTTAAAAGTACCATTTTCATTTTAGCAAATGCTGAAATAGGTTTTCACTAGTGTTCGTTGGGATGCTGGTAGATGCATTACTACAATATGTCAAAGATTTCAATTCAATCGTATGCAGAATATTTCGGTGTGGAAATTCAAAGTCAATTAAGCTAACTTGAACCTTTGCAGATATTTTGTAGAATTCGGAATTTTTAAGTAAGTTAATAGCAATGTATGCAGTCTTTTTAAAATGGCAGATTATTATTATTGTGTAGCTTTCGTGTTCTCATGCTAATACTTGTCAAAAACTGTCCCGTGAGCTAATTATCATATATTAGACCGGCTCCTGTTCGCAGCGTTTGAAAGAAAGAGGAAGACAAATTTCCTATGTATTTCAATATTTAGGTATTTGATTGCAACCCATAAAAATGGCATATATAAAGTGACTGGCCTGCAGTAAGACCAAGCAAAACACAGCTGACTTAGTTTAAGAGTTGTTTTTTCTTTTTATCTGAACCGCTTATCCAGATATATCACCTTGAGTGAGATAATAATGACGCTGATGGTCATTTCGGTACGAAGGGTAGTTGTGTTACAGACTGCATAATACAGTTGAGCGTTATGATTGTGAGCCATTACTCGATTGTCTTTAATTATATCATAAATGTATGACCTGTGAGACGTACAACAATTACACCCATATGTACGCTACATGGAACTTTGCCTGCCCACAGGGGTGCGTAATTTCGGCATATTTCGCTCTGCTGAGTGCATCAAATCAGTGACCTGCCCCCTTAAACACAAATCATACAATGAATATTGTTTTAGGGGTGCTATCAAAAGGAAGCGAGGAAGGCTTACACAAAAGTTGACGGAGAAGCGGAAGCGGAAGTGGAAGTGGTCGCGGGGACCGCCTACGCGTGCGAGAAGCGCAAGACCACTACCCAACTGTGATCGCTTATCCTTGCAAAAACAAATAAAGAGTTTGTAATACGGTATCAAACAATAGACGAATTTAACAGCTAATTGATTACGGATATTATAATATAAACGTGTAATTACCAGATTTCATTTCAACCGTTCGTTTGATCGGCTTGCCTTATAACGCTGTGTAACAATTCGTGTGTCTTGTCTAAAATGAGACGCTTCAGTGATTTTAACAATGTCTATTTAACTTAAATGTGTCACGAATCAATGATGACTGCGTTGAATGCAAAAGGCCATCGTTATTTAACTTGAGTGACCTTACATAGTAATTCTTTTACTTAAAAAGAGTGTCTAATCTGATTTTTGAAAAATAAATATGCTACGGGAACATGACTGCAGTCGATTTAGTTAAATAATTTTCACGCAGGACTTGGCCTTTCAAATCACAAAATATCTCTCAACATTACCTTTTTCAGGACTTCCGTTGTGCGTGCCTGGAATATTGTTAAAATACAACTTAATACGGTTCCGGTCCTGAATTGTAGAGGAAAAAAAGTATATATACATATATATGTGTGTGTGTAGGTAGTTGTCTTAGTTTTGCAATATTCGAGCCTTATTTTGCGCGTATTAATTAGAGAGGTATTTTCGATTCGTTTAGCTAAGTGCCATGTCAAAAATAAACTATGTTTATTTCACATGCTTTCAGTGCTAGACGCAACGGGTCGTCCGCCTTCGGGTCTGGCATCGGGAACTATCGCTGACCTAGGACAGTTTAACCAATGCCTTAAAACGATAGCCAGGTAGGTCACAATGAGTTACTTTATCAAGTGTACTAACTCATCATTGATTAGGTTTTAACGTTTTCAACTTTTCTCGTTGGCACAGATCTGACCGCTTCGGACAACAAATGGAAGAGACTACCCTAACGAAAACAGCACAGAGTGAGCAATGAACAAATCACAGTGGCCTTTATTCTTTCTAATACGCAACAACCTTCAACTATTTTATACGATTTAGCAATCTCGTTATCGATTACGTTCAAGTTCTTATCTTTCGGCTGAAGCTAGTAGGTAGTGCGTGGGAAAGTTGTCGTCTAAAGCACAATGTATTACCCTTAAAAGTGACAAACCCTTTAAGTCGTATCAGCTAGTTATTTGCCATTACCATCCTCATTGGCTATAGGACTAAGGGTCGTACCTGTACAACATGCAACCTATAGTTATTGTACCTTGGCATTGGCATTATCCGTTTTGTTCGCGAATGACTATAGCTACTCTTAAGCTTAAGTCAATCAAAACGACTGAAGTTTTACCATCCATTGTAACACCCATTAAAACATATCTTTTCCAACAGATTTTCTTCTATGTGAAACATTAGGATCCCTAAACAAGTCCTATGAAAACTTTAGAGATACATTTCTGATCGTAGCAAACAGCAAATGGTTTCCTTATATATTCTGATAGGGACTGTGGAATTACGGATTAGAGTGAAAAACGAGGTGTTATACGTGAAATAAGTAACACTTTTAATGTTTTGACTTATCCGTACGTCGATAATCCGATGACTGTACACTTTCGGTTACAGACAAATTAACAAGTTTTGAAATGTTAACACGACGACTTGATTGATCCCTTGTATTTTTTTTGGCCCTGTTTGGTCTGCTGCGCTGTCAATGACAGTTCTTTCCAGCTGCCAGATCTCCTCAATGTTCTATAAGCTGTGTGACGATAAACAGACCCTGTATTGACATGAGCCTCGAAAAGAAAATTGAATATTTGTCTCTCTAACGAAATGGATCACTGATTTTGCAGAGGATAAGCTGGCAGGCCTCGGGTAAATAGTACTTGTTTAGACCGTATCACATTGTCGCCATGATAACTTAGTGGATCACGTATTTGGCACATAAGCTTTGAAACATATTGTGATCTAAATTCGTGTTGTGCTGAGAGCCAGCTGTTTGATCGAACGGTTAACGCCGATGCTGAAGGTAAATGACTAGAGAGACTAGATAGAGATCAAATATGATTGCTGATAATGGCATCTAATAAATTTTGCTTTACAAAAGCGAGACAAGCATTGATCATGTACATATCGTGTGCTCTGCCCATTTGGGCTCTCGTCCCATGCTAAATCAGCTCGTTGTCTAATTTGCTGATCGTTGGTTGCTGGCAGTTTTTTTAAAAAAAAAAAAAAGAGAGTTTTTTCTTCCTGCTACTCTCTTAAGAAATTCGTCAGTTAGAATGCGCTTAACTCGGCGAAGACATCATTTGTATATTCGAAGGATAGCCAGCGACTACCTAAAAGTCTTCGACATCCGACTTCAAGTCACAGCCTCTGATCGTTGATGGCAATGCAATCCGGTGGATATTAAGTTCGGCACCTGATGAACGATATGCTATAAATTTTACCGGATTGCTGGCTTGCAACGATGGAAACTGATCGCTACGAGTTTGCCCGAACTTCCGCATGTACGCAATTACGTAGTATAATAGCTAATTACTTAATAATTATGCGGTGCACGATTTCGTTGATCTAATTAATTGAATACGCTCGTAGGCTGTTTTGACACTAAGTAGTAACAGCAGTTGGCCTGCAAAAGGCCAACAGTTTGTTGGCGGTTACGACAGCAAGTTCGCTTTCCAGGAGCGAAGGGAACTACGTCGCCGTTAAAAGCTGTGTGGTTTTTACAGCTGTACCCGCCATAAGAATCCGCCTCGGTAGCGCTTTTTTAGCATTATTCTGCAAGACTCAGATTTTTCCTAAAAATAATAAGCCGATAAAATTAATGAATATTAACTTAATTATACCAATTCATGTTTTCGTCTTAAGCTGTTTATTTATACCACCGTTTTTCCCAGTTCTTCAGCGATTTTTCTATAATTTCTTCCGTCGTGTCGAAAAGCTTGTCCGTGTGACATTTCCTTACCTTGAGGAATAGGAATCGTTGCAGGGGACCAGAGCCGGTGAATATGGGATTGGGGTGTCGACTTTCTTCTGCAAAAACTACTGCACGAAAAACTACAGCATTTGAGTTGTCCTACACTATACGTACGTACGCACAGCGTAGCGTGCGTATGTTCTGAAGCATCGTGTTTCCGATAATACGACAACAGCTGTTTTTAAATGGGAATTGTGGGTAAGTCAAGTCCGTGCATTAAACACCAGAAATGCAAGCAATGTAGACCTATAAGGAAGCTTCAAGTGTACATTTGGACTTAATGCTCTTACTTCTGGCAGATTTGTATGTAGAAGTATGGTGAGGATTTCCATGGGTTTTTAGTGAAAACTAGACCACCTATGCCCATATTATTCAATGCCTGCTATCACTTCCCCAATAGTCTGCACCGTCGAAATATAACAAGAAAAATACTATCAACTGCGTCCTCTGCCTATATCATCGTAAGTCTTTAATGTCCAAATATATTACCTTTTTTTACCATTTTGTTCTGGTAAGTAGTTGCTGGATGGGCCAAAAGGATAATAAATGGGCGTTCTGGAACGTATTCGATATCCTATTAAACGAGCCTATATTTCATCAAAATCTAGATAGCAATAAGAGGAACCCAGGTATGTTATTGCAAGGTATACGCACATCTTGAACGGACGCACTGCTAGACGCCCATTCCCAAATTGTTAAATTGTTCGAAATGTTTCTCTGGCAGATTTTGCCCCTGTATGTTTTCTTTTCTTAAAATCTTAGAAAGCACCATAAAATAAAAAAATGTCGTACAGAGTTTACGGCATCGAACGTCCCTTGCGATTCTCTAACGTACGTTATCAATACAAGTTATTTAGGGGAACCCATTATTATGTGTGATTAATGTTTGGCTTAATTTGACCATTTCATATTCAAAGATAATACGTGCCAACAACTTTGCAATGAGCATTTCCTGATGGAATTGTAGGATACAGGTGATCGTATAGGACTGGCACTGAGTTAGGGGTATAGAAACCACATTTCGGCTAATCCTTGTTTTTAAACCACCATTTCTTATAAGACCTTAATTGACATTGGAATTTTCGCAAAAAAATAAATATGCTATCAAATCATTTTGCTTATGGGTGAGTGGTTCTTGTTGCAAGATGCATTCGACCTCACTACGGTATTATCCGCTTAGTTCTTTTTGATTTATTCATTCGATCTAGTTATTCATTCAATTTTTATATAGGACACATGCTATATTCTATATTTGAGCCGTGTCAGCGTCCTTGCAGGTCCTGTCTATAATAAGAACACTACTTCCCAAGGATAAATGATAGGTTTTTCGCTTAATCTGGAACTATTGTTTTGCATTTGCCTTAAGGACCTATCAGGACAGCAGGTTTTTGAAATGTCGGACCAGGCGTACGGATTAGTTATAATCTTTTTAGACTTCGTTCGAGGGAAGCAAAGATTTGCTGAACCTCGTCATTTATCTCAGCGGACCTTTGAGGCGGCAGCTTAATTTTGAGCCCACTTTAACTTCTACAACTATTATGGGTCGATTTCTCGATTGGATAGCTTCATGGTTGGTAAATGTGTAAGTCAAAGGACTTTATTTCAACTAGATACGCTACAGTCAGCGGCGATACCGATGGACAAGGTACCAAGAGGTATACTTCATATAGCAGAGAGATTATTTTTCCTACAAGATGGAGAAGCGACAACTGCTTAGATTGGGGTTGCTCGTTTTCTAGATAATTCCTTTGTGCACTATATAAATCATATATAGATTCTAGTATCTGTTCGAATTACATCTGTTATCCTGCTAAGAAACTAAGCGCACGCACTGAACTGGTTCAACAAGGTCCAGTTGTCTCTCGAAAAATGAAACCCCAGTTGAGCGGTAGCTAGCAAAATGGTGACAACAGCAATAGGTTATGTCGTTGATATGAAACGTTTGGTAAAGCGCCTAGCAAATGTTGCATTATCGACTACGACGAAGTACAGGGTAGTCTATATTTGAAAAGGGTATGGGAAAACTGTTACTAGAGCATTTTACACATTACAGAATTTTAGTCGACCGCTAATACATTCAGCCTAAGGCGTAATTTGGGTTGTTTTCAGATATTTAATATAGTCTAAGGGGATTTTTTAATTTTTTTACAACGTTTATGAAATTTAGTTAGAGAATGAGCCACGTTTTGTCTAGTGAAAATAACGGAATAGAAAAAGAGGGGGATCTTTAGTCGCATCCGTTGCCTAAATAAATGAGAATAACATACGATATTTCATTATTCGTCACCTACATACGCAGGCGTTCTCACTCTTCTTTTTTTTTTTTAACAAAAATCGTCTTAGTCGGTAGATAGTAGGTAGATAGAAATCACAAACAATAAATGTAGGAGCCGTTGTGTTCATCCTGAATAGTCGTTGCGACAAGATTATTCAAATTTCCTCTATTTTTGTGACATACTATTGACTATGTCGGCTTTTTGATGTTAAAGTTGAATAGGTTCCATGATTTTCAGGGATGTCAGCGGATTGGAGTTGTTTCGTGGTCAATATTGTTCATTGTTTCTGAAACCGACTGATCTGGCTTCGATGAAAAGATTTGCGGAAAAGTTTGCTCCTGACGATCCGGATGAAGTAAGTGCCTATAGAATTTTGCAATGTCGTCTCCGATAATTGATTGGCCAGCTTGTTAACTGAAAGAGTATAAGTCTCTACTGCTGATTACTTTTTCAACATGTACCTAATAGTAGAGGCTGTAATGATAAGAGGTATATCTAGTTTCATTTGATTAATGTTGTAGAAAGATATGGGCTATTAACCAACCTTTAACCTCAGAACATTCCACCAGCTGAAACTTACAAATGATTAAACATGGGTGATACCCGATTGATATGGCTATGTTTACACTCACCTGTTATTTAAGGTATACTTTTCTTAGAAATACGTGGTACTTCCTAAATATATATTTTCGAAGGAAAAACAACACACGCACATTGACTGTCTGTGTACTTCCGTGTAAATCTGTATACTTAGGCGAATGTGTACCAATTAATAACAATGATGTATAATTTGGAAGCAGTTTGGTAACACAAATTTATGCCGTAACTTCGTGGAATCAGGTGACGCTGGATTTGCAGGTGTTCCTGGAATCAAATCAAGACGTGTCACATGGACTTCGTATCGGGGTCTGTGTACCTTCAACCTGTCCCTCCGATGATCTGTCTCTTCTTGTCAATTCAGGTAGCATACAGATGCGCTTTAGATTACACCATTTCTATATGTAAAGTTAAACAAGTTCCTAAATAATAATTTTTAAGATAAGTGTCACTATCGATGCACACCACCGTGGTTTGAGATTTTGAATAATAAACGCCTGAAGTCATTGGAAATTTAACTATGAGTTCTAAAACAGATGAGCTCATGTGGGCTTGTTTTTTTACACTATATATGGGCATGATAAAGCCAAAAGTCGAACGAGTGCGTTTGTAGCCTTTTTATATAGGTACTACGATTACATTTGGAACTCTAGAGGAAAACGAATACGTTATCTCGTGTTGGGAATATATTGTCAAATAGGTAAGATGTAAGCCTCTCAAATATTCATGATGGATTTCATTTTTCTTGCAGTTGCAAATGACTTCGGCCTCACAGGAAGCCTTCGGGGCTGTGTTGTTAAGGACAAGCCTAAGTTAAAAACGTATGAGAAGGTTCTAATGTAAGTAAGTCAATATTCACTTTTGTCCTGTATCAGATTCGTATGCAGCCGTAACTCGAATATAGTCTAAGCCATCACATACGTGTTTTCCGTTACAAACTAACCAGCAAGAAGGAAAAGTCACTACTTTATTGTATAAAAAATATCTCTGCCAGTGTTTACACTACCGCGATCTTTGTCATAATTCTATTTTTCGAAATACGCTCTGGAAACAACGCGGAGGCGGCAGCCTCAGACAAAAGATGAGAAGATCGATGTGCAGCATTTGAAGACTCATTCGACCCGGTCACGAGGAACAATGATCAGGCAACGTATAATCAATTGAATCGTGGATGTTTAATGTAAAGATACATTTTTTAACGTATCGTCAGATGTTGAAGCAACATTTGCCGAACAAAGTTTGTAAAAATGCTTTACTTATATAAGAAATAATGCATTTTACGATACCTATATAATGTTCGCTGGGAAAACATCGGTGTTACAGGTGCTCATTTAGTCTTCTGGTGTCCTTTGTGATCGTGGCTAGCGCGTTGGATGTTTATTTAAGAAAGGCTGGACAAAAGTCCAGCCTCGCCCAAAGTATCTCAGGTATAGTCTTTACTCGGCCCCTTGAACGCAGTACCAAAAGGGCAACTGTTTATCAACGCTAGCGCTTCACCAATAATGATCTAATCTCTTTCTAGGTGGAGCCTGTCTGTTTTTCTTCTTTCTTCCTTCTTTTTCGGCACCGATTCTCTTTTCGGTGGCACCGATGTTTTAATCTACTTGTATATATA